CCTTTTAAGCGATTCATTTATTTTTCTAGCTAGAAACGGAAGCAAAGGCAATAACGGAAACATGAAATATTGATAATGAAAAAAGACGCGATTATATGCCACATACTGTAAAAAACACTCTAGTTGTTAAGAGCCTCAATGAGGAAAGCTTTTAGGAGCATATCAGGTGCAAGCAAAAATCCTTCTATTTGATAAAAGTTTTATAACTTTGGTCATTATTGTAAATATGAAATATAAAATTATAAAATCATAATAACATGAGTTGAGAAGATTTTTTGATCTTATGTAGGTTATTTTCGTGATGTAATTCATATTTTAGCAAATCATGTCATCGTATTTCTGATTTAGGATCATCGTTGACTTTATCGTCCAGTTCAGCTTCTAGCATCCCAACGGTTTCGTTACTTTTGGTTTTAAGATTTGTGAATTATCGGTAAAGAGTGATACGGGAAATGTGAAAAAGTCATGATGTTTTTGAATCGTACTTTCAGGATTCCTGTTATGGTAGTTGTTTGATAAGTTTCTCGGCGAGACATGTTTAAAATACCAACAGGTAATTGAGAGTTATAACTGAAGGAAAACTTTTTGGAATGATTGTCGTATGTGTTTGTTTTTTCCTTCACTCACACTTCTTTTAAGCAAAGAAAAAAAGAGAATTAGATGCCAACATATCTGTGTAACCGACCTGCGATCCAACGGTCCGATCCAATTCGGCTACACTCCCGATAAAGGCAAGAAAAATGCTATCTACGACAATTGCTGTGCAAAAAAAACTTTTGTTGAAGTACCGGTCACTTTGAAGGAGTGAAAGTAATTTACTTCATGCATTCATTACTATTCAAAAACAAAAGTTAGTGCAGCACTTAATGTCGTACCTAATGACTCAGATGAAGACTCAAAAAATTCCTTGAAATTAACTTGGCTGGTTCATGAAATACTATCCTCAACTTCATTCCGCTCTCCCCTTCACCCATGTCAGTGAAATTTAGCTGAATTTTTTCGTTCATAAATGCCCATCAGATATTACTGTGTTAACAAATGGTGATGATTGACCATGGCCAAGCGAAATGAGACAGATAGTAAGCCAGGACTTATCACTGAGCTTAATTAACATGTAAGCTCGATGGTTCAAATTGTCGTCAGTTTCATTTGGAGTCCCACGCAATAGGATAACAAACGTGTTCGACATTTACAAACATTGTACTGATACTGCTTGTACCCCTCAATCAGAGAGAGGTGAACTACATGACTTCTATCGCCCTCTTCATAATAAATGCATGGTAACAACACTTGCCTGTCCATGACTTGCGAATTCGACCGGTCTCCAATAGAAAACTCGCTAAATTTCGGTGTGAATTTTTCAAAAGACAAATTCATGGAGGTCTTTTTCTCAAAAGCGAAGTTTGAATGCGCGCCTTGTCAAACCATTTAGTAACTCCTGAGCCACTCCAACCACTAATGTTGCTGCAATGTTCGCTTGTTATGCAGCATATGTTACCACCACCGGCACACATGCCGTTCAACTTTTCTGAAGTCCACAGACTACCACCCACGACGCTTCGGAAATGCGGGCGTAGTATTTGGTTGCTACAGCAGAACTCGTTGACTACGGAAAGTTATGTTGCTGCTAGACCACCCACAGCGCCGCATCCTATCACAAATAGCATCAGCAAGGTGAGGTATGTTTTGCAGTGGCTGAAGATGACACAAAATAAGCGTTGTGTGCTAGAAATGTGGCTTTCCAATTCTATCTGGGCTATGCACCCCTCTTCGGTTATCCTTTCCGAGCAAATCCCGAGGGTAGCTGTCAAAACTTCTGAATTATTTTTACAGTAAAAGATAGCACTGCTATTTCTTTTTCTTTGATATAACATTTTGACGTTGTTTCACGCGAGTTCAAACAAAGGGTGCATATACTAATTCTAACCTTTGATATTAACCATTCCTTTTGTATCGCTGCATTTTTAATTTTGGTATTCTCTATGCACAGGTGGACGGAGAGGAAGTAACCAAATGAGGGAACAATGCCTAAAGAATTACAGTTCTGA